TGAAGCAGAAGCCAATGAGATGGAGACAAGTACGAACGAAGAAACGTCCCGTAAAATTAAGACTTTGTTTTATTTTAATTTTGTGTTTGTAAATACTGTACATTTCATTAAGTTATTGTTAATTATCTATTGGTTTAGTGTAAGTGGTTATTGTTCGGGACTAACAATTTTAAGGAAAGGGCAGTGTTACGACAGCGGATGTCACGCGATGCTGGGAGCATGCACGCTGCAGTTTCTGGAAGGATCATGAATTTTCCTGGCAACTCTAGTTTGTTCAAGGTGCCCTCTTTTTTAGTACATAATCCCGGCAAATAAAAGAAGACATAGATTGAAGATACAGATAATTGAGTCAAGCGAACAGTAGACACTGTAAGTAAAGTTTGTGAATCACTGTGATTTATAGCGTGTGTTATAAAGGTTGTTAACTTTAAAGTGACTGTGGAAATTCTGTGTATTACAAATTTATTCTTTCTCGATACAACCACGTGGTTGGCAGAGCACAGATAGCCCATTGTGTGGCTTTGTGCTTAACTTCAAACAAACAAAAAAGAAGATGATAATTGTTGCGTATCTGCTCGTTTGTTAATTTCTGGTATAAATTCTTTCCGAGGAATTTCAGCGATACAAGTCCTTTCTTAATTAAAACTAATATTGAAACCCGGTTTCTAGCGTTGTAAGTCCGCAGACATACCGCTGTGCCACTGGGGGGGGGGGACTATCATTTTCGCTATTTTTATGATCAACGACTCAAAACTGTTCGACTATACTCATATCATTGTTATTTTGTTATATTGTTGTAGCTGTATTTCGTTTTCGGTTACTGTCTTTTAAAATCAGTTTGGTAACCTGTGACGTTCATAGACCCTTGGTAAAGGCGCAAACCGAAACGTTGGGTACAAGTACTTAAAAGTTTTTGTGAAGATATTTGTCGTCTTCATTAAATAATAGTTTATATCCTTCAGTCAGCACTGAAGATTAAAAAAACAGTAAAATGTTTATCGCCGTCGACGGGCTTTTTCTTAGTTCTTCGAACGTCTACTTACAACAAACTCTAAAACTGACTAGAACTACAACACAGATTGGTTTCTTACATCGATGTAAACGTCATCAACTGATACCTTCTGGTATAACTCAATTAGTACGTCTTCCCCAATGTATTCTTAATAACAGTAAGTCTCTTCGTCGTCAAAACATATTTTTAAATGGGATTCTTCGTGATGTTATTGATGCTATGTACACCAAATAATCTAAACACGTCACCTTAATTAAGTCTAGTCAGGATACCTTGGATAAGTGTCAAGAACATAGTCTCCGTCAATGGATATATACCATTACTAACCAAATCAAGTTAAAAAGAGTATGAAGATAGTAACACTAGACTAGAAAAGAAATTTAATAGATTAGTTCACACGACTGAAAATAAACTCCGGTCCACGTGATGACCATGATTTGAACAATAGGACTACGGTTCTAGACTATCTGAAACTTACAAAGGAATCCATTTCCATCCTCTCTAAATGTCTGAATTTTGTTATTTCAGGTCAACTTACCGAGAAGGTTAATCTTGATATTCGTTCATCTCTTCACCAATGCTTCCACAAATTAAGAGTTCAAGAAAAACATTCTTCTTCCGATATAAACATATCTAACTCTAATAACAATGTGGATGAATCACAATTTAATCTTACTACTGTACCTTTTGACCTTACAAAACACATACCTCCCAGAGCGTGCCCTACTACAGAAGAGTGTATCGAGAAACAGGATTTTAAATAGTTTTACAAATTATCATGTAAAATCTAATATTTCAAAAAACGAATGATTAACCATCAACGATCAAGTAATTGTTAAAGTGAGTGACAAATGTAAAGGTTTTGTTGTAATGAATATATCCAGCTATGCAGAAAAAAATTAAGGTACATATCGATGAGACGTCTAGTTACGAACCACTTAAGAAAGACCCTACAAAAGAACTGGAAAGAAATGCTAAAGAGATTTTGGGGCAAGTTAAAAGAAAAACCACCATACCCATGCGACTTCTTGATAATCTTAAGCCATCTCATTCAAAAACCCCTGAACTGTATGGATTACCCAAATATCATAAACCTGATACACCCCTGAGATCCATAGTCCCCATATGCAACTCTCCTTTTGTGTCTGTATCATGGCTGCTTGAAAAGTTACTTCACCCTCTCTTCAACAAAATACCTTCACACCTTAATAGCACCGATGGCTTTCTCAACAGGTTGTGCAGATATGATTTACAGATGAATTCGAACACTATTCTCTTTACTCTTGATGTCGTTTCTATGTATCCTTCCATTCCAATAAAAGAAAGTATAAGCTCGGTTATAAATCTTCTTAGATCGACCAGCTGTTATACTACCATTGATATTCCTACAGAAGTCATTGAAAATTCTCTCAGATTTATATTCAACAACAGTTACTTCAAATTTGATTCAACTTTCTACAAACAAAAGAAAGGCATCGCTATGGGCAATAATATTGCTGTCGTTGTGGTCTCTATTTTTATGCATTTCTTTGAATCATCAGCTCCTACTCAGTGGAATTTTGAAACAAATCTTGAACCAATTAGATGGTACAGATATATTGACGACATTCCTTTCTCTTTTGGAATTGGTTAAATTCGTTAATTATCAACACTCCGACATAATGCTCACGCTTACTCATACAGATAATGTCCAGAAATCTATACCCTTTCTTGACACTTGTTACTTCTGTATATTCTAAGCCACGTGTTAAACCTGTTATTCTACATTTTAATTCACACTAGCTACCAAATGAGGTGTCATTATCGGTCAACTTAATAGGATTGAGAAAATCTGCAACACCATGGACGGTAAGACGCAAACCAGGATCAAACTTCAAAAGCTACTGTTGTCCAATGGTTACCCATATAGTTCCATTAGTAAGACATTTCACAGCTTTGACTCACAAGATATTAACAAACGACATCAAAAAAAGAAACTATTACATCAAGACACTGTTTCATGGATTATACCCTTCGTGGATGAACCTTTAACTACTCGCCTTCGTCAAGCGATTAGAAGATCTAGTTTGAATATCAAAATTATACAAAAACCTGGTTGAAAACTGAAGGATGTACTCACTCGTTCAGCCTTTAATAACGATAATACATGTGAATCCAAAATTTATTTTGCAAAGACGAATGGCTTAGAGAAGTCCTGCACACTGTCTATGAACTTACATGTCCACAGTGTTCGGCCACATATATAGGTGAGTCCAATCGTCCAATACACGATCGTGTCAAAGAACACATTCGTACCACTGGAAATCTTGACAACAAAGCTACCGCTGAACATTCCTTAAAAGAACACGGCACAATCAATGGGACACCATATACAATCAAACTTTTAGAAACTTGTGACAGTTTCATCGATAGAAAATATAAGGAATCACTTTTGATTCAATCCAGACGACCTTCCATTAATAGGTACAACGCTGGCCCCCATTAACATTTTATTATCATTATTAATTTTATCATTATAATTTTATCTATTCTAATGTTATTATTATTATAATCTTTTTCTCTATTTTCATGATGAACGATTCAAAACTGTTCGACTATACTCGTATCACGTAAACTTTTCCCTTATATTGTTGTAGTTGTATTTCGTTTTCGGTTACTGTCATTTAAAATCAGTTTGGTAACCTGTGACGTTCATAGACCCTTGATAAAGGCGTAAACCGAAACGTTGGGTACAACTAATTAAACCTTTTTCTGAAGATGTTTGTCGTCTTCATTAAATAGTGTGATTAATTCCTGACAGTTTGGTGTAGAATATCCTGCTTGCAAAATAACATTTGGCATCAACATTATTCATGACTGTTCTCCTGTCCTTTCAAAAGTGTTTGTTTGCTTTGTAATTTTGCACAAAGCTGCACGAGGGCTATCTGCGCTAGCTGTCTCCAATGTAGTAGTGAAAGACTAGAGGGAAGGAAATCATTGCCACCCACCACCAACTCATGGGCTACTCTTTTACCAACGAATAGTGGAATTGACCATATATTATAAAGCCCCAACGGATGAAAGGGCGAGTATGTTTGGTGGGCATTTCAAAAGTGAATGTTGATCTTTGCCTGCGTGCGCAGCTTTTCAAACGGGAGACCGACGAACGTTCGGACAGTCAAATAAGATGAAGGAGGAGACCTTCAGTGAACTGTTTCTTCTCTTCTGGAGCACGGAGAAATATCTGTGGATGAAGCACGTGCGTTTGATGATACGCGTGGTGGTGACGTCAGTCGGCATGAGCTGTCGTTGAGAGAAGCAGAGAGATGCAGACCGAGCATGTCACGGAACATATAATATTTAAAACTGGTTTATCATCTTAACTGGTTCGTTAGTTTTATATAGATTAAATAAGTAAATAGTCTGATATGTACAAACTTAATTATTTTTCATGTTAGAAAAATTATAAAACTTGGATTTCGTTTTAAGCATACAATGATACGGTCCAGGAGCGGAGTGACCATACTGGCAGATAGGATGTGGACCGAGGGCCCGTAAACCAGTCTAAGAAAAAAAATTAACACATTAAAAAAAATCTATTATATCAAATAAAAAGATTAAAACGGAAATTGACTTTTAAAACATTGTATGGTTAGCATGGCAGTTTGGTGCGTCAATTAACCATTTAAATGTTTGTTTGTTTGAAGTTAAGCATAAATCTGCACAATGGGCTATCTGGGCACAGCCACCACGGGTATCGAAACTCGGTTTCTAGTGTTGTAAGTCTGCAGACATACCGCTGTGCCACTGGTGAGCCCTTTAAACACTGTAGCGCACTATATAATGCGTTTACAGTCGTTATGTTTACAAAAATACTTGTTTAAATTTGTTTTTACATTTATTTAATTAAAGTCAACCCAAACTATTCTTCAAGATTACCAGATTTTCTTTAATCTATATTATAAAATGTTTTTTTTTATTTAATTAAGTTATAATATCAGATTATTGTTCTCTGTTCTAAAAGTATAAGTTTCTAATTATAACTATTATTGTACATTTGACATTTGTAATTCTAATTTGTAATATTTTTATTTTCAAGGTGTTCGTGATGTTTTTACTAGCCTTTTTAATCATGAGTAACTGCTTTTTCTGATCTAATATTAGTGTGATATGAAAATATCTTTTGTTTTTGAAAAATAACACAAAGGGATGAAACTATAGGAAAATATAAACACAAAAGTGGTGTGCTCAGAAACGCAAAGACAATAAGAGATTGTTTGTTTTTGTAATTAGGCACAAAGCTACACAATGGGCTATCTGTGCTCTGCC